CCCCAAAACCCCAAAACCCCAAAACCCCAAAACCCCAAAACCCCTATTTTTCAAATTACAATTGATTTTTTATTTTAATGGTATCCAGAGCAAGTGATCGAACAAGATTAGAAAATATTTGATGAATGAAAATCTCTAGCTCTGCCCATATTAGCATTCTCATGATGGTTTCCAGGTTGATGGCCTCCAAAGATAGGTCTTCCAGCATACATAGTCTTTATATCTGTCTTTTGGGCCAAAGATTTGTGAGTTAAAGGTGCCTTTTGCTGTTTCTTAGATCTCTCAAGTTGAGCTTGAAGTTCACTTTGAAGGAAAATATTATGAATTGAGTGATCTTTCTTAGGAACATCTTTCAAACTGTTTCCTACCTCAACTCTTTTACCAATTTTTCTCTTTTTACTAGCTGGATTATCAGTAAGCAGTGGGATCTGACTTTCTGTGTTCTCATACCATTTTTCAATCTTACGGACAGGTAGGTTTTGTTCTTCAATGTTAGAGAAATCATAATTTTTAGCCTTTGATTTAGGAGAATTTAGTTTACGAGTGATATCATTATTCCAATGATGCTCTAATTTTGCTTGGGATGTTGATTTCTGAAGCCTTGAGTACTCCTTATCATCCCATTGGTTTCTCATTTCATTTTGCTCCCAAAGAACAAATTTCCTTCCTTGATCCTTCTTCTTCACTTCATTTGCGAGATAGAACAACTTGGTTCTGTTATTATAGTCAGGATAATCCTTATTTTGGGAGGAAAAATGTTCATCTTCATTCTCTTGTATTGGGCTATGAGCATATTGAGGATATTCCTCTTCAGCACATTCCGGATCGATATCCACAACAGCTTGCTCTGGTTCAAATCCTTCTACTACATAATAAAGTAAATGTTGGGATTTTTCACCGATGAATACTGTTTGTAACCCTGCATGCTTGATTTCTTCCTCTTGTTCTTGAGATTCACCTTCTCCATAATCTTCACCTTCGTGCTCTCCTTCTGGAAGATTTCTTTCATGATTATATTCTTCTTGGTATTGATGGTTTTGTAAATTTTCTTCTTGAATCTCTGGATTACCTTCTTCTTGGTATTGATAATCATAATCTGGATCATCTTGGTATCCTTCTTGTTCATGCACCTCTTGTTCAGGGCTAAGCTCGTTCTCATGGTAATCATTATGATCAGACTCCTGGTTTTGAGGGTGGTAATCGTCTAGGTTATAATTTTCCTGTGGTTGAGAATCAAAATTTTCAGGATCACTTCCTTCCATGTTGTTATATTCTTCTTTATTTAGGTACTCCTCTCTATCCATTTTTAGGTACTCATCTATTTGCTTATTTCTTTGGTCAATATCTGGGGAGTTATTCTGCTGTTCTTCAAAATCACTATCAATATTGACGATTTTTTCTTCAACCACTTCTGTGATTACGCTGGATTCATCATCTCTGGGTGCCTCAGGATTCTCTCTGACTGGAGAGCCTATATTAGTGAGCATGCAAAGACCTTCTGAGTACCTACCTTCATTGTAAGTATCTTCATTTATTTCATGAAGTTTTGGTCTACCCTTCTCACGCACATAGCTTGTATTGGAAGGCCTGGCACTAAAACTTGATTAGAAATTTAAATTTACCCAGTATTTCTTCGGGAGTTGTCTTTATCAAATTTGTTAAAAGTGCCTCTGCTAGAGACACTTTCTCTAGGCTCGAATCTTTCTTCATTTTCTTCAAATTCATTCTCCATAATATCGGAGAACTCATCGGGGATATCCCCGTCGCTTTCATATTCTTCATAATTTTCGCTTGGGCGCCTGTCCATTATCGAATTCAATTTTATTATTTTTGAAAGGGGTTTTGGGGTTTTGGGGTTTTGGGGTTTTGGGG